TTTTCCGATTTATTCAACTCGTATTCATTACAATTACCTATACTTTCTAATATTACAAACCATAACAAAATTGTAAGTCTGCAAACAAATAGATACTCACCACGATTTGCAGAATAGATTCCCCTCTGGTGAGTATATTTCTTCAATGTTGCATTTTTGCACATTGTTTATATTTGTCTGTTCTAATTTGAAATTGGTCTTTATGTTTTATTTATCATATATGACATCTGACACCGCGAATTAATATCGATCGAAAGCTTTCTTAACAAAAATGCTAATAAAGCAACCATCGATATGTAAATGATACCTATATACGTTGTAATTTATTTCAAGTTCTTGGCAAGGCATTTTTGTTGGCCACAGTTTAGATTTGAATGTCAAGAAACCAAAATCAAAAGCGGACGCAAAGAGCAAAATGTCCATTGCAAAATATTATGCAGGCCAAGAGATTCTTATTACGGGAGGATCAGGTACAGGAATTTAAGGAAATATCCAAAATATTTATATCGGAAAAGAATAATATATTTTTCATTCCCCAGGTTTCATTGGCAAAGTCCTAATCGAAAAGATCCTGCGCTCACTGCCCGATATTGGAAAAGTCTATATTTTATTACGCAGCAAAAAGGGTAGAAATGCCCAGGAACGTTTAGAGGATATCCTTCAAATGCCACTATTCGAACAAGTCGGCAAATCTCAACCGGAAGCGTATAAGAAGTTAATCGCCATCAATGGTGAATGTCAAGAATTGGGCTTGGGACTTTCGCCCGTAGATTTAGCAAAATTAAAAAATGTTACCATTGTATTTCATGTGGCCGCAACGGTACGCTTCGATGATGACATAAAGACATCGATACTCCTGAATACCCGTGGTACTCATGAAATGCTTAAGGTTGCTGAGAAATTGCCAAAACTCAAAGTTTTTGTACACGTCTCAACTACATATTCACATCCCGATTTAAGGGTGGTCGATGAAAAGGTAAGAAGAAAGTAAAGCTAAATATTCTTACATAGGAAGACAATAAAAATCACTGCAACATCAGGATATGGGTAGTTTGAAAAATATGGTCATTAACAAGTATCTCCATAAAGCTGTACCCAACCGGGTTTAGATTAGTCGGTGTGAAGACTGTGAAGCTAAGGAAAGGATACAAAAATCTTGATAACGTATTTTGGACTTCAAATATGCGTCCTTTTCATTTTTCCAATTGTCTATCCGAATCAAAACATTTTCCGCTATTATATCTCTTTGCAGATATATCCCCCATACGCAGACTGGCGTACGGCCATCAAATTGGCGGAGACTTACGATCAGGAGACTTTAAATATGCTACTACCCAAATTCTGTCCAGGACACCCGAATTCATATACGCTTTCAAAAAATTTAGCCGAACACATTGTACAGGAGTATAGCCAAAAATTGCCTGTAGTAATTTTCCGGCCATCCATAGGTAAGCTAAAATTTTATTTTTAATGATCCACCTTTATTTCGTATGTCTCACATATATTTTCAGTGGTAAGCAGCTATAAGGAACCCTTTCCCGGTTGGATTGATAATTTCAATGGTCCGGTCGGCATGCTTGTTGCCTGTGGTCTTGGTATTATGCGTACCAATCACGCGGATCCAGATATTGTACCCGATATAATACCAGTTGATATGGTTGTTAATTCCCTATTGGTCACGGGCTATAAACACGCAAAGGCCAATGACAAACTCATACGAAGTGATCGGAAATTGGAGGTGTACAATTGTAGTTTATCATCGAAACGACATTTGTCGATGGGTACCATAATTGATATGGGTAAAAAGACGGTTTTAAAATATCCATATGAAAAATGTATTTGGCTGCCGGAGGGTTCAATAACTCGTTGCGCATTTTGGCATTATCTGAGGGTAAGTACACAGATCCATAACGATGAAGAGGATCAAACGTGGATTTAGGCCTTGTTTTCGGTATTTCGAATGTTCATTCTAACCTCACATATTCTAGAGGATTAGAAGCGATAATTATTAAAATAGAAAAATAGAGCACCCTTGGAAGATTTTTTTTAGGTTAGGTTGCTTGTCAAGATAAAATTTCAAAGAACAGCTGTATTCAGATCTAAAATTTTTTAATAGGTCAATTTATCCTACTAACACGATCATTCATTTCAGTTCTTCGGCTTGCAAGTGATCCCAGCAATTTTACTAGATATTTTCATACGATTGGCTGGACATCCAGCAGTGTACGTATTTGAAGTTCTTCGTTTTCATACTACCAATTTCCAAATACTTACTAATACCACATTTTTTCTAGATTATTGAAAATTCAAAGACGCATCAAGAGTACCACGGAAATTCTCAAAGTATTTACAAATACCGAATGGCATTTCATAAATAACAATTTCAAATCATTGGAAAATCTTATTGAGGATCAGGAGAGGTAAGATTTTTGGGTTTTTTTTTGAAAAATATGTATATCAAATTAAAAAATTTCAGATCCACCTTTAAATTTCTGGACTATTTAGATTCGGATATGGATGAATATCTTATAGAATGTGCAAAAGGTGCTAAAAAGTTTTTGCTCAAAGAAAATCCAATACCATCGAAGGGGGCACGTATACGTATTCGCATATTTTGGGTCTTACATTATGCAATACAATATATAGGGCTATATTATATTGTAAAAAACTTCCTATTGCTTCTATATAATATGTTGGTGAAATAAAAATGTACGTGGATATTTGTTTTTTAGTAGATTTCCCTATATTTCTAATTAAAATTATTGTTTTTGTGGGCTACATGAATCGGAGGAACAACTTATTTGGGTCGGAAGTCAATCCTAATACAAAGCGTTCTGATGGTTACAATATCGCAAAGAAGGACACATGATAGAAAACTATCGAGCACTAATTAAGCACTGGACGTAGACAGTTCTTTCCTCTCTGAGAAAGGCCTTGCGACCATCCCTCCATCCTCGTTGCAAGGAGATAGATTAACAACAGTCCAACTCGATGTAGTGAGGTTGGGAGTTTGCAGCGCCAACATTTTCAGCAGGAGTTTCTTGTCCACTGAAGTTGGGGAACCCAGGCTGAGAGGATCCGTCTGGTTGGGATCTCAGATAAGGAGACCGCAGCAAGGTTGGCTCCTTCCCAGAGTGCACCAAAGCCGTCAACAGTTCTCACGAGGATTTCTCGATTTCCTGTTCAAACAGTTTATGACTTTGACACCCATCTGCATGAAGGCACTGTCAAACTGACGATCCTCCTGATCCGACTCACAGACGATAGCTGATCGAAAGGCTGCTTCAAAGAGTTACCGATGACTGCACTAATATTACCACAAGGACCAGATTTGTCAATGATTGCCACTTGAAGGTCTTCGTCAGCAGCTACCATCCTCTCCATCTGAAGCTCACGATGGTGAGTGTACGGATAAATTCTTTCGAATTTCCTTATGAATCTCATCTTGCCCTTGATGAGGTGATCTTCCCTCTCCGAAAGCAAATTCGCGTCTCGCTAAACGTGCTTGTAGTGTTTCGCATCAGATACTTCTCGGGCATTTCCGACCTTTGAGCCGCAGTCCGTTGCTGGGGCCTCGATAGATTCCCCATCGTCGGACATCGCCTTCACCGCCTTTGAAGTTTATTGTCGGCAAGTGCCGACACAGGACCTGTTTCAGTCAGACTTCAATCGATCGGTCAACAAGGTCTACGCTTCTTTCGTTGAGTCTATAATAATCCCCCTGTGTAGACTTGGCCGGAACCACCGTAGTGTCCAGCTCATCATTAGTCAGGGTAAGATTTAGTAGCAGTTCCACTGGAAGCGTATCTCCACATCCTGTCTGCTTGTCGAACATTTCCCTACTCTGCTCCTCTAAACTATCGCGGAAAGCGTTAAGGGTCCCGTCTAGGTCGTCCCCTCCCAGTCCTGTCATGGACAAATTTGCATCAGTGTTGACTTGCTCGTTTACCAATTGAATTGCCAGTTCGTCACGTAGCTTGCGATCTCATCAACGATTGCCGCCGGTACTGAGTTATCAATTCCCTGCACTATAAAATGTATTCCTTTTATTCTTCTAGTATCATAGTTTATTAATTTAAGGGCACTACCCCGATCCATTTTGGTCCACGGGTGATCCCTAATGTTTCCACGAAGTACAGAGAAAAGTTGGCCTAGGTCAGTTTGGCACTGCACATCATGGATACCCCCTTCCCATCCGCCTCCCGTGAAGACGCGCCTAGTAGGAGATTGGCAACTCCCCTAGGCTAATCAATTATAAGATTGGGCGCCAGACGGTATCTGGAGTACCGGGACCAAAAAATGCTATACTGTAGTGTACAACAGGAAGCTCCTAGGATGGTGTAAATGTCTCCGAAGATATTTGACCTATTCATTTCCAGCATTCCACATCCTCCTGTAACAGTCTAGTAATCCTGACCACGATATTACAAGATTACTAGACTGTTACACTATGTAAATGTATCTGTACTTTGTGTTTATATTGGATTATTTAGATGTCGATTTAGATAAACATAAAACAGCTGAACGATGTGAACTAGTTCACACACAGTCCCCACCAGTGAACCAGCCTAACAGTGTCCGTGTGACCTGTGAGAATGTGTATGTTTGTAAACAACAATCTTTCAGTCTCCCTCCCACCTCATTCGTAAATATTCCGTTATCCGCTTTGAGTTCTGCTTTATCGGTCATTTTGCCTTCTCCTGCCATTCGTTAGCATGGAACGTTTTTCATTTTTTCTTCAGTCGCAGTCGGTGGAAAAAGCGTCTAAAACGTACAGATTTTTATTGGCGAAAAAAATATCAAAAAAATAAAAATAAACAATCAATTTCTGAATTGTGGAAAAGATATCGTGAATGCAATGAATTGAAATTACCACAAAAGAAAGAAGCAAAATAAAAATTCTACAAAGAGAAATGTTAAAATTTGTTTAGGTGCTAATACTCTGTGAGAAGTGAATGGTGGATTACACAAAACATCTCGGATAGTTCGCCTATTGTAATTATGGCCGCGCCACAGCAATACTCCCTTAGATGGAACAATTATTTTCGGCATCTTACCTATGCCCTGGACAATCATCGGGTAAATGATGATTTTGTCGATGTCAGCCTGCTGTGTGATGGCAGGAAGATAAAGGCCCACAAGGTGGTGCTCTCAGCATGTAGTTCATATTTCAAGGAGATTTTCACAGAAAATCCTCATCCCCATCCGGTTATAATATTTAAGTTTATCAAATATGAAGATCTCAATTCAATCATAGAGTTTATGTATCAGGTGAGTACAATCTTCTTGATTGATCAACCTGGGAAATGTTACAAATGTTGTATTTTCTTTCTTCTCTACTTAAGGGCGAAGTAAATGTCCAGCAAGAAGCATTGCAATCATTTCTACAAACCGCCGAGCTGCTGGCAGTCCAAGGCCTTACGGCCGAAGAAAAAGAGAAACCCAAACCGCCCACTCCTGTACTCGACGATCAAAAACTCATGAAATCCATACCGAGCACAATACGTGCCGTCAATGATGCCACAGCGGCAACACAAACCATCGATATACCATTGCTCCAGCCACACGCGACCCAACTGCAAATGCCCAGTCTGCAAACACAGACGGCACAAGTACAAAACACAAACCATCAACATCAGCAACATCATCATCATCATCAGCAGGTTCCGACACAAATACAAAATTTACAACTTCATGCGAATCCCCAGAATACCGGCAACCAAGTGACCACACATCATCAGGTAACTACGGCAACGACGGGTCACCCACAGCAACATATACAATTACAACAACAACATCATACTCATCAGCAGCAGCAACAACAGCAGACCCATAGCCAGCCAGTCCAAGTAACAACCCAAGCTGGAACATTAAATACAAATATTGTAACATTACCCGCCTCAACTGCAACAGCAGCAACAATGGGAGTAGGAGGAGTTTCGATGAAGAAACGAAAAATCACTTTTTCCGATGATGATGATAATATTTATACCACAGAAGCGGTGGATGAACAAACAATAGTTAAGAGTAAGTTTTATGGGAGGGGGTCTATGGCGTCGAAAAAATTTTTTTAAGAAATCTATTTTTGGCAAAAAATATTCTTTGCTTCGCTAAGACTTGACAAAGTATTCATTAAAATACCTGGGATAGCTATGGCTGGAAGAAAATATTTATAAAACAACTTCGACAATAAGTTCAAAAAAGTATTTTTAAGAAATCTAAACTCCACCAAGGTTTGAGAATTATTCTTAAAAATATCAGCACTCAGATATGGCTTGTAAAAATTATTCGTAAAGAATCAAGCTCCTTTAAGTCTTCAAAAATTATTCATAAAAATATCCACTCTGTTTTGGCTTCAAAAAAGTATTTATAAACCTGTAAGGAAAGCAGTAAAGTCGGACTGAGCCGACTATATGATACCCTTCACCACTTTAGGTATATTTTACATATGTATACTTACAATTGCATACCAATGTTCTCTCGAAGGAACATACTCATGTCTTTCTGTAACCTATGCTAAATTTAATTTCAGTAGGGCAGATTTATATATCTAAATCTGAACCGATTTCAACAAAACTTGGCACATATCAATCTAGACCTAATTCAATACGGACCAATATTGGCAGTATGGAGCTCTATTTACATAAAATCGGACGAAACTAAATATGGTAGCCATATCTATATCTGAAGCGATTCCAACTAAATTTGGCACAATCAATCGGCTTAAGTTGAGTTTAGGGTAGATCCTATCAATCTAGGCCTAATTCAGTACTCTGTGCAAAATTTTGTCTAAATCGGGCCAATATTGCCAGTATGGTGCTCCATTTACGTAAAAACGGACGAAACTATATGTGGGAGCTATATGTAAATCTGAACCGATTTTCTCCAATTTCAATAGGGTTCGTCCTTGGGCCAATTAAGTGACATGTGCCAAATTTCATCCAAATCGGATCATAAATGCGACCTGTACTTTGTTCACAAAAATACATGGACGGATGGACAGACGGACATGCATAAATCGACTCAGAAAGAGCATATTCTTAAAAGGAACCACCTCGATTCCTTTTGCCTGTTACAAACATATGCACAAAGACATAATGCCCTGTACCACAGTGTGGTGAAGGGTATAAAAATGCTTAAAAATCAAAAACCTTAAAAAATCTATATTCTACTTAGTATGTTTCTCTGCTTCTAGGGCTGCTGTGGCTTCACAAAGAATATCTGTAAACAATAGATTTTTTAAATTCATATTTTAATAATGTAATCTATGTCCTGGAAAAAATATTCGACAGTTCTACAATTCCATAATAAATATAAAACAATTTTTAACAGTTCTGGATCGGTCCTACATAAGTGTTCTAATTTTTTTTCTTTTTTCCAGCTGCTGATATGACAATTTTAAGAGGTGCCATCAAAATGGATATCCCCGAGTACATAGTTGGTGATGTTGATGATGATGATCGTCTGTCCGATGGTGACGTAGCACCGGGTAACAATCAAGATTCTGCAACGGGTGGACAAAATGTAACACAATACACATCCGAATATGAAATATTAACCGAATCCGAAATTGAAGAGAAATATCAACATGGTGATAATTCGGAAATTTCTTTAGAAATGGGACGTTTGCTAAATCAAACAACATCATCGGGTAATGCGGGGGGACAACATCATTTGGACGATAATAATTCCAATTCAAATGTTTTACTAAAATCCGACAATAAAGGTGGTGGCGGTGGCAGCGGAGGAGGAGGAGGCGGCGGCAATACATCAGCAGGTATGTAAAAAAATTAGTTAACGTTTTTAGTCATTTATGTTTATATATAAAAATATTATTTTTTTATTTGGTTTGTTTTTTGTTCTATATATATATATATATATATCATTATTATTTCTTTAATTTTTATTACTCATATTTAATATTGTATACAATATTTGTTGCCGGTAGTGATGAGTGAGCAAATTTTATTACAATGTTACATTTGTGTTTAACAAACGAATATGTCTCCAAAGTTAATATTTCCAAGTAGCAGTTATATTTTATTATTATTTTTTTCAATCCTTGTTTATTGTACTTTATATGTTGTCCATTGTTTTACTTTTGTGTTTGGTTTTATCCATTCTAGAATAGTGCTTGTAAGAAAATATTTGTTTTTTTTTTAATCCGTCTGTAGTAGGGGAGGTAAATGAGGTCTGAATTGCTTAACTTCTTATAAAGTAAAAAATGAACAATTAAAAGAAATGGATTGTCAAAGGTGAAACAATGTTGAATAGGAAGGGCTTCGAAAATGATGATGAAAAAAATATGGTTTATGAAAGAGGAGGGCTGAGTCCGGTTTTGTTCATAATGTATCTGATCTCCTATAAGTGTATCCATTTCGTCTTCTGTTCTAGTTGAGTGTATAGCTTTGTGATGTTATCGTCTGATCGCTGTTGAAATCACGATATATTTTTTAACGGAATAATTTTGATTTGTTTTTTGGTTCCCAATGATTGACAAATGTTCATACAAAAGATCCCAGACGCATTTTCCAATATAAACTTCCATTTAGGTTGAAGGTCATTCCGAGGCATTTTGGGGGGTAAACACCTTGTTCACAAAATATATTCAATATAAATCCATGTTTCTATATGAACTTCCCAAACAAATTTTTATACAACATTTTCGTTATGTTTCAGACAATATGGAGTCGATTTACAAATGTCTGCCTGTCTGTCTGTCCGACCGGCTGGTGCACACGATAACTCTGGAAGGGAATCCGATGTCATCCAAACTTTACACATCCACTTTTTCTGGTACCTCCACACAAAATGGTCAACATTTTCCAAACGTCTCACGACCAATTTTCTTGGTTAACCCAACCCCCACCCCCCACGTGTCATTCATTCAATGCATCACAATTTGTATGCTAGATCTCCAGAAAAGAACCTCTACCGGTTCAGATCTTGATATAGCTCCCATATATATTTTCTTCAGATTTTATGTAAATTGTGCACTAAAGACCCTTAATATCTCCCGATTTTCACGAAAAATTCACAAACAATTTGAGTGCCTAAATTTTTTGAATCCCTGAAAAATATTTTTTAAAAAAGTCCACACATACTGGCGCTGTGGCATAACTAAACTGTAATAATATTGATAATAAAATAAAAAATAATAAAAAAAAAAACATCTGAAAAAGTGCTAACATCGGGCAACCAGGATATGTGCTTGGCTTTAGTGTTGATTTTAGGAATCACCATCAGTTTTCACATTTAGAACTCATTGTAATAATTTTTACTCTCAGATAGCGTTTTTATATATTTTTCTCTTTTACTAGCATCTGAGTTCTAAGCTATTAGTCTCACTATTTTCAAATTCCTTTAAAATTTTAATAATGGTGCGGGGTATGTTCATTTCTTATTTTATATTTTCTTTATTGAATTTTATAATATCGATTTTTTTCTTCGAAATTAATATATATTTGTTTTAAATTAGTTAACTCGAAATTTGTTATTGTTGTAATAAATTTCTTTTCTTTTCATTTCATTTCTTTGTATTATGTTCGTGTTGTAATGCCACCCATCTTTTTTTCTAGTTGTTATATTAAATCCTTTCCTTTGCGCACCATTCATCTTGTTGGTTAATTGTATTCTTGTTATTGTTAGTTGGATTGTTGTGTATGTTGTTGTTGTTCTTCATTTGTGTTTTCATTTTGTTTCTCTATTTTCTTCTTATTCTGTATATTTTTAGATTTACCCAATAATAAATGGACAGAATGTCAATTTTGCAAAATGGTCATAACGACAGTTAATCTTTGGAGACATATTCGTACACAGCACACCCCGCAACCACCGCGTAAATGTGAACTATGCAATAAGAATTTCAAAAATAAATACAGTCTGCGGGAACACATACGAATTTCGCATGAACAAAAATTGGGCCTAAAACCGGAAAACTGATCGATAGTTAAAGAAGAATGTAAATATTTTATATTAAGAAGCTAGTCGTCGTCATCGCGTCATTGTCATCATTATCCTCGTTCAAAATGATCACCAACAATCATCTAAATTAAACCTATTTTTATTAGTTTATGAACCAAAAATTAATAACAATTAAATTGGTTGTAGTTGAGCTACAACAGCATTGCCATCACATTTAATTATGGAAACAATTGTGTGTGTGTTTTTTTAATATCCCCAAAAGTATGCCATGAAAATGTCTTCATTTTCACATGGCATTTTATCTCCTATCTTACTTCTATTTAAGATTGTTTAAAATTTAATGAATAAATTATAGCAATTAAAATATAATATCAATACAATACCAGAAAATAAATGATGTGTATATAAATAAAATAACATTTAAATATTAGGGAACTATTAACTATAAGCATCACATAATATTACTTTATTTTCATATAATATACAATTAATTTATAAAAAAACAAAATACGATTTGTAGCCCCTTTATATCTATGATGAATATTTTCTAAACATAGCAGTTAAAACAACGACATCCAATCTGCAATGTTTTTGAATTCTATTTAAAAAAATATTCCTTCACATAAAAATTCACTTAAATTCAATTCATTCCCTTAAATTTAATTTTGTTTTTATTTGCTATTTGAAATCATGGACATAAATTAAAAAATCCCCACAAACATGAATTGTATATTATAAAAATGTAGTTACTGTAAATATTAATTAGTATTATAATTTTCTAAATTTGTTGTACATTTCTAATATTTTCATTTTTCAACTCACATTCTCAATCACATTACTCCTAACTATCATCATGGCTAGAATTTGAAATTCTATGTTTAGTAATTTCTTGTGAATGTTTAAGAGATAAAACAAAATGAAAATTATAATATTAATAAAAAAAAACAAATAAACAAAATACAAAAATAAATTATCTGATCTGATATATATAAAAACACAAATAATATGGAATACTTTAATTATTTCAGGATTTTTAAGGCGATATGGAAAATAAATTCCTTGAAAGCATTTTTTTGAAGAAAAAAAAACAAAATTTTTTAAAATCTACGTCTTGTGGTAGACCTTTAAAATGTACTTTAAAAAATCTACGCCTTGTGGTAGACCTTAAGAATGTACTTTAAGAAATCTAGGCCTTGTGGTAGACCTTAAGAAAGTACTTTAAAAAATCTACGCCTTGTGGCAGACCTTAAAAATGTACTTTAAAAAATCTACGCCTTGTGGTAGACCTTTTAAAATGTACTTTAAAAATCTACGCCATGTGGTAGACCTTAAAAATGTACTTTAAAAAATCTACGCCTTGTGGTAGACCTTTTAAAATGTACTTTAAAAATCTACGCCATGTGGTAGACCTTAAAAATGTACTTTAAAAAATCTACGCCTGGTGGTAGAATTTAAAATTTGTTTTAAAAAATATACGCCTGGTGGTAGACTTTTAACATTTGTTTTAAAAAATCTAGAACTTTAAAAAATATTTTTTTTTAGAAAATCCTGCAACCTATGCTAAATTTTGTAAATCGATTTAAAACAAACTTGACACACGCTACTGGGCATGCCGCACTGTTTAAAATTTAAACGCAATCAGACACCCATTGATTATTTGGTGTACAATTAACATTAATAAGTCGAAATTATATATGGAAGCTATGCTATATCTGAACCAATTTCAAAGAAACTCGCCAGAGATTAATTTATATTAACTTCAGTACGTTGTGTCAATCGGCCTAGATATGGAGCTATATAAAATTCGTACAAATCGAATGATTTTCAGATATTTTGGTACTCCATTTACCTAAAATCGGGCGAAACTATATATGGGAGCTATATCTAACTCTGAACCGATTTTCATGAAACTTAGCACGCATAATTCGAGACTTAATTCAATACGCTATGCCAAAATCCGTGCCAATCAAAAGATTTACAGGGACTTTGCTGCACCATTTACCTTAAATCGGACGAAGCTATATCTAAATCTGAACCGATTTTCACGAATCTTAGCACACATCATTCTAGACTTAATTCAATACGCTATGCCAAAATTCGTGCAAATCGAATGATTTTCAGGGACTTTGGTGCACCATTTACATTAAATCGGGCGAAACTATATATGGGAGCTATATCTAAATCTGAACCGATTTTCACGAAACTTAGCACACATAATTCGAGACTTAATTCAGTAGTCTATACCAAATTTCGTGCAAATCGAAAAATATATAGGGTCATTGGTGCACCATTTACATTATATCGGACGAAAATATATATGGGAGCTATATCTAAATCTGAACCGATTTTCACCTATTTCAATGGGGTTTGTCCTTGGGCCAAATAAATAAGCTGTGCCAACTTTCATCCAAATCGGATTATAAATGCGATCTGTACTTTGTTTAACATCAACAGGCGGATGGACCGACGGACATGCGTAAATCGACTCCATGCATATTCTCAAAAAGAATCATGAGTCTATCTCGATTCCTTTTGCCTGTTACAAACATATGCACAAAGGCATAATACCCTGTACCACAGTGTGGTGAAATGTATAAAAATCCACGCCTTTTGTTGGTCCCTTTAAAAATATTTTTTAATAAAATCCACGCCTTTTGCCTTTTTTTTATATCCACGCTGATCTTAAAAATTTTTCCCTTAAAATTTTAATTTCTACTTCTCTTTTTTTGTTTCAGGAAAATATTTGTTGTGTAAAATCTGTAAACGTAAACTGAATTCGCCAAATGCCTTAAGACGTCACATTGCCTCGAAACATTCAAAAATTATGGGCAAAGAATTTGATTGTGCGGTTTGCAATAAAAGTTTCAAAACCAAGTGGTCTCTGTCTACGCATAATTCCAGATTTCATCGTGATATGAAACCGGTAAAGGAATGTATAAAAATGGATTTTGTAGATGGTTGAAGATAAGATGCAGGCAATAAAAAAATAAATTTTCAAAAAATATAGTTTTTATATAAAAAAATGTTTAGTTTATTTTTGAAGGTTAGTCAATTATCTTTTGTATTTCTTACATCTAGAGAACATTTTGGAAAATAGTTTTTTTATTATTTTTAACAAAACGAGAACCAGGCACCCCACACTTTAAATATCTGCAAAACCAGGCAGAGGGAATTTCTCACTGAATTTCTCAATTTCATTGCGCAAAGCAACAATCTTGCTTTGAATTTCGGCATTTTCGTGAACGGTCTTTTGGAAATCAACCAATTTGGGGCCAGATACCTTCATGGCTTCACCGCAGATCTTCAGAGCAGCATCAATGTATTCAACAACAGCATCGATGTCAGTTTCCACCAAACCACGGGTGGTCAAGGCAGGTGTACCCAAACGAATGCCGGATGGGTTCATGGCAGACTTATCACCAGGTACGGTGTTCTTGTTGCAGGCAATATTGACTTCTTCCAAGACGTATTCAGCACGAGAGCCGGTCAGACCGACATTACGCAAATCGACCAAAACTAAATGGACATCAGTGCCACCAGTGGCAATGTTATAGCCCTTCTTCATCAGACCTTCACACAAACGGCGGGCATTGGCAATGACTTGGGTTTGGTATTCCTTGAATTCGGGAGATTTGGCTTGTTTGAAAGCGGTGGCAATACCTGCAATGGCATTGTTGTGGGGACCACCTGCCAAGAAAATAAAGTTCGATTATTAATTAAAATAAAAACATTTCTTTAGAAATTAAAAACCTACCCTGCAAGCCGGGGAACACGGCATTATTAATACGATCCTCCAAATCGTACATAATCTTCTCACCATTAGGCTTAACCTTACGCACACCCTTGCGATAGAAAATCACACCGGCACGTGGACCTCTCAACGTCTTGTGGGTGGTGGTACTGACCACATCGGCATATTCAAATGGTGATGGAATCAAACCAGCCGCAACCAAACCAGCAACATGAGCCATATCGGCAAACAAATAGGCATCATTATCATTGCACACCTGACGGAAGCGGGCATAGTCCAGACAGCGAGAATAGCACGAAACACCGGCAATAATAACCTTGGGTTTGAACAGTTTGGCATTGGCAGCCAAGCCATCGTAATCCACCAAACCGGTAGAGGCATCGACCTTATATGGCATCGATTCGAAGAAAATTGATGTGGCCGAAATACGTTTATTGGCTGTCATGAAGCCATGGGTCAAATGACCACCATCGGGCAAGTCCAGACCCATAATGCGATCATGCGGCTGCAAGAGACCAGTGTAGACAGCAAAATTGGCTGGTGAACCGGAATAAGGCTGGACATTGACACCCCATTCTTCGGGATTCAAGTTGAAGGCTTCCAATGCACGTTTTTGGGCCAGAATTTCGATTTTATCAATGAATTGATTGCCACCATAGTAACTGAAAATTAAAAAAAAATGAAATTAGTATTAAACCAGTAAGGAAAGTAGCAAAGTCGGACGGGGCCGACTATATGATACCCTTCACCACTTTGGGTATATTCAACAGATGAATCCTAACAAACGTCGCATTTTTAAAGGACCAGTAAAATGAAGTTGGATCCATAAACATGTCATTCTGCAACCGATACTAAAATTTTCATTTGGTCAGATATAGAAGCTATATCTAAATTCGAACCGATTTCAGGAAACTTAACACACATCATTCTAGACCTAATTCATTACGCTGTGCCAAATTTCATGCAAATCGAAAGATATATAGGGACTTTGGTGCACCATTTACATAAAATCGGACGATGCTATATATGGGAGCTATATTTAAATCTGAACCGATTTCAGGAAATTTAACAAACATCATTACAGACCTAATTCATAACGCTGTGCCAAATTTCGTCCAAATCGAAAGATATTAAGGGACTTTGGTGTACCATTTACATAAAATCGGACGATGCTATATATGGGAGCTTTATCTAAATCTGAACCGATTTTCAAGGAACCTTACACACACCATTCTAGACCTAATTCATTGCGCTGTGCTAAAGGTTTTTGGTGCACCAATTACCTTAAATCGGATGAAAATATATATGGGAGCTAAATCTGAACCGATTGTTACGAAACTTTGCACACATCATTCTAGACTGAATTCAGTACACTATGCCAAAATTCGTGCAAATCAAGAGATTTCCAGGGACTTTAGTGGACTATTCACCTTAAATCGGACGAAGATATATATGGGAGCTATATCTAAATCTGGACCGATTTTCACGAAACTTAACACACATTATTATAGACGCAATTTAGTACGCTATGCCAAATTTCGTGCAAATCGAAAGATATATAGGGTCTTTGGTGCACCAATTACCTTAAATCGGAAGAAAATATATATGGGAGCTATATCTAAATCTAAACCGATTTTTCCCAATTTCAATAGGGTCAAACAAATGAGCTGTGCCAAATTTCATCCAATTCGGATCATAAATGCGACCTGTATTTTGTTTACAATTTAACATGGACAGACGGACGGACATGTATAAATCAACTCAGAAAGTGATTCTATGCGTACCACAGTGTGGTGAAGGTTATAAAAAGGTCAGCACCAGTCGTAGATTTAAAAAAAATATTCTTTTAAGGCTTTGATTTTTTCAAAATATTATTTTAAATCAATAAGGAAATATTTCCAATAAAATTATTTAACTTCGATTATTTTTGGATTACGGTTTTTTTTTGAGATAATCTAATCTGTATTATAATGCTTCACTTTAGGGGTGTGGCAGCAATGGAAAATTTATTCTAGATTGTTTTTTTTTTAACTACATTTAATTTAAAATAATATTGGATACCTAATGAACAGATATTTTAATTTCAATTCAACAACAAAATATTAAACAGATTTCAAACATGCAAAATTCTACTTTTTCAAAAAAAAAACTACTGTTGAATCTATTTAAAAAAACCTACCGTTTACCGGGTAAACCTTCAGAATATTTATTGTGCAGACATGAACCCAAACATTCCAACACGGACAAGGAGGTGAAATTTTCACTGGCAATCATTTCCAAACCCTGAGCTTGACGTTTCTTTTCTTGTTTGATCAAATCCAACAATTCGGTATCAATTTCCCGAATGGAGGAGGTCAACAGTTTGGAGTTTCCAGACATTTTCTAAAATTGGGAAAAAGGAAATAAAGATAGAATAAATTAATAACAAAAAATTAAATAAATAAAAGAAAAAATAAAAAAAATAAAAAAATATATAAAAAAATCAAATAATTAATTAAAAGGATAAATAATTGAAAAATAAAAAATGATAAAAATTGAAAAAAATAAAAATAATAATAAAAAATTAAGTAATTGAAAAAAATAAAATTTACTTTCGAAGCCATGTTTTGTAATTTTCTTTTCTTTCTCAAGATTATGTTTAACACAAAAAAAAATATATTAATATATTTTTTTTATAAAATATATATATTTTTATATAAACTTGACTGGATGCCTTTCCAAGTGCAACTGCAGCAGTGCAGTGTGGGCAAGGCTTTACAATAACTTGGTGTTTTACGAAAAACAAAAATAATCAATACAATTAATAACAAGATCGATTAATGTAATTTATTTACAACTAGCAACAACAACAACAACAAGAAAACATATTTTGCAAAATACTCTGCTCCATGCCAAGTGGAAGGGAATCTGCTGTTATTTCGGACTACCTCCTTTCCTATCTACCACCAAGATCAGAGTTCAAGTTTTTGTTTTTTTGCCACGGAATCCAGATAAGTCCAGAGTGAGGAGAGAGAAAGAGACACATACACAAAAATAGTGATAACGGCGACAAGTCGTCAGTCATTGACGGAATTGGCAACATGTAATATTTACAAAATATTTCATTTCATTTAAATATTCCAAAAAATAAGGGAAATAAAACTACTATCAATGGGAGGAGAGATAGATTGGCAACGAGAGTAGACGACGACTTAGTAGCACAAAAATATTTTTGTTTTATTATTTTTTTAAAAATTTGTTGTTGTTATTTTTATTATTACTTAATATTATGGTGGCTTGACATACGTCGTGGTTGTGGAATACTATTCTGAAATTCGACTGGATCTTTTGACTGTCGTTGTTTGACTGAAATTCTTTCAATTGTTGCCAAAAATAGCAAAGCTAATTTTTTTTGGAAAGATTTGTTGTTGCTACGTTTTGCCAAAATTTGATAACATTTCACACGCAAAATGTTATGAACTTTTGCTTATCTATTAGCGAAAACAAAAAAATATTAATAACAATGTTTTACAAATGGATGTTGAAAAATCCGGATTCTGTTGATTTATTATAGGCTTTTTATTTGTAAATAAAATACATAAATTGTTTTTAAATAATTTATATATAAATTATATTTTTTAATACATAAAAGTGGCCATAAGTTCGGAAACCTGAACTTTTTTATACACTTTTCACATTCAAAATATTCGGATTCTGTTGTTTTATTATAGGCTTTTTATTTGTAAATAAAATATATAAATTGTTTTTAAATAATATATATAAATTATATTTTTTTGTATGTAACAAGTAACAAGTGAAGTTCGTCCGGGCCGAACTTTGGATACTGACAGATACTTGAAATGAAAATATAGGGAAAATATCAAAAAGTGCATCTATACAGATAATTCTACAAAAAAATATATTCTGCAATTTTTAATGGATGATTTTTCCTAAAATCTGAAAACCTCAAAACGTGGAATGCTACAAATACCGCATGGTAGAGAATAAAATCCTCAAACTATTGCAATTTAGATTGCAAAGTTATATGAGGCTATGCATTAAAAGGGGACCAATATTGATTACATAGTTTAGTAATTATCGAATATTTGGGGGTTATCATTATATGAGGGCTATGCCTAATTAATAAACGATATATGTCAATTTCGAACCCAATATTTTAGTTATGTATGTCAATTCTTCCCTTCAGGAATTATCATTATATGGAGGAGATGCCTGAGAATGCCTGCCGATATACATGAAATAAACATTTCAGAAATGTTTATGGATATTTTTCCTAAACACACAAAAAAAATTGGACCGATATTAACGACGCATGGTATGGAATATCCCCAAAATACTGCAATTTTGAGGTTACAGTTATATAAGGCCATCACCACAGGTTTTATGTAGTAGTTCATTCTCGAACCTCACGTTCTAATTTTTTATCTCGATGTCCTCCGCAGGTAGAATGATTACAACAGTCTTAGAACACAATCCAAAACGTGGAACCAATCAGAAAACTATTTTAATATAAAAAGGGAGTCATATGGGGACTACCCCTAAAAGGGGGCGAATATTAATAATTGTTTGTAGGGCGATTTGCTGCCATATACGACTACAAAATACCAAATTTCAGCGAATTCGGTTGAAAAACTCGCTCAAGAACCCCAAAATACCGAAAATTGGGGGTGACCTTATATGGGGGCTACCCGAAAAATGGAACTACATATATTTATAATTTTTAGTGGAGAAATTTGGTACCCAATAAGAACCCATTGTATCAAATTTCAGCGAATTCGGTTTAAAAAACGCGCTCTAGAACCCAAAATAGCGAACATTTGGGATACCCTTATATGGGGGCTACCCGAAAAAATGGAATTATATTTATAATTTTTAGTGGAGAAATTTGGTACCCAAAAAGAAACCATTGTACAAAATGTCAGCGAATTCGGTTTAAAAACGCGCTTAAAACCCACCAAAATACCGTAAATATGGGGGCTATCAGAAAAAGTGGAAAGATATTTATAATTTTTAGTGGAAACATTTGGTACCCAATATGAACCCATTGTACCAAATTTCAGCGAATTCGATATTTGGTGCACCATTTACTTAAACTCGGACGACAATATTTATTAAAACAACAACAAAGCAGACACAGACAACACAGCTTATTGCTACAGACATCTAACGCGTAGGAGGGGATCGTGCAATTAACAAATAACACTCAGTGCAATAATAACTTTTGACCGTGGTAGTCACACTACGCTAGTTTTAAGCTAATTATTTAATGTTTGTTATTTAAAATCTTATGAGTTATATGTTTTTAGTATTAAAAAGCTGTGATATATATTCTAATTAGTTGTAATGTTTATTTATTGTAGATCAACTTCCCTGAAGATGAAATTCAACGAATTTCGAAATATTGGAAAATAATAAATAAATACAAAACATTGACCACAAGCTCGATCAACCATCTCTAATTTATTAAACATTAGAAAGGTCGAAAAATCATAAACATAATTATTAAAACTATATCGAAATCTAAACCGATTTCATCGAAACTTGACACAGGTTAGGTTTTACCAACGCACATCATTCTAGACTTTATTCAATACGCTATGCCAAATTTCGTCAAAATCGTATATATATATACAGAGACTTTGATATACTATTTACATGAAATCGGACGAATATATATATATATATATATATATGGGAGCTATAACTAAATCTAAACCGATTTTCAGGAAACTTAACACACATAATTCTAGACCTAATTCAATACGTTGTGCGAAATTTCGTGCAAATCGAAAGATATATAGGGACTTTGGTACACCATTTACATTAAATCGGACGAAAATATATATGAGAGCTATATCTAAATCTGAACCGATTTTTCCCATTTTCAATAGGGTTCGTTCTTGGGCCAAATAAGTGACCGATGCGTCTTTTTTGAACACCTATTTCTATATAAAGGAGTTGTCAAATCGAAACCGCGCTTTATGTGCTAGGCTAAGAACTTTCCGAACTGCCCTCGTATTATATTTTTAAAGTAAAGTTGTAGAACCAAACTTAGACTTTTTAAACATTATTTTAAACGTCCGTCACAGAGCACTGATTTTTATTAGAATATTTTTTAAAAGATGTACCACAGATTTTACCAAATATTTTTTTCCACAGAGCGAACACTTTTTACAGGATTACCACCGGGCTTAGATTTTTTACAATATCTTGAAAAGACTATCTCCAAAGAAAATGTTGATGTTGGTCATTGTTCTTTATTTCTTACTGACAAATGTTTACAAATATTTGCAGGTTTTATTATTCATTTAAAAAAACATGGGATATTTCCCCATATTTCCATTCTACGCAGAAAACAAACATTCTGATAATAAAGATAGAGAATAAGATAAATAAACAATTGAAACAAACAACACACCAAGAACTTTTATTGTTTTTTTTTTCAAAGAATTGCAATAAGCTGCAATATACAGAGAATTTTATAAGAATTGAATGTTTGTAAATGATGAATACGTATACCCAACATGACTGTACATACATTAATCAATCTCAATACAACATTATATCGAGAATGTTGTAGGGACTTTATTCTTCTCAATATGTCTCCTCAATTTTATTTATATAAAAAAAACAACACAACAGCCTCGCTTTCGGGCACTGATGCTTGCGACTAAACCTTTGCTGCGAAACAAGAAATCATTGATTTATTTTAGGCACTAAACGCCAACGTACGTCATCGAACTGATATGGATTGGCCCAATCCATTCTTAGTAGGCAGCAAATATAACATTAATAAAAGTATTTTTATTCTTGAATAACAATTTCAATTAAGCGTAATAAGTGAGCCTACAGACACTATATAATTAAGGTGACCATCACACATTTTACCTATAGATAAACTGTACACATATATGATAATATTGAAATTCAGAACAGGTTAGACATGTTTCTTTTGAAATTAAACCAAGTTATTAGTTATTTGGAAATTTTTATAATTCTAAATGGATTGCAAATTGTTATCCTATTACTAAATAATATGGAATTAAATTATATTTTATAGATTATATTTGAGATAAAAACTATCTACTAAAGCAAAAATATTATTGCAGAATGAATAAATTAATAATAAATACGTAATGAGTAACAAATAATATAAGAAGCTATCTTATAAATTCTGGAAGATAGTATATGTTGTCATCATATTTTCAAAACGTATTTGTTATATGTTTGCGGAATCCCGCATATCATTTAGGTCACCATTATATGTATTTTCAAAATGGGGGGCTTGTCTTGTCTCCAAGTGTTTATCTTTGTTACTAGCCCATACAAATATATGTATATACATATACATACACAGAGAGACATATGCCTAAATCGCAGACTTTTTTCGCTATCTTCGCACATATACACCACCTTATAATTTACGATTAACAACAATCATCATTTAATTGGGGTATTGTTAAATTTTAGACATAGAAATGTATATACACAACATATGTATGTATTTATATTATCATCATGGTGAAACCTCGAACTTTGTTTGACAAACTTATTTGAAAATTTATGTTTATTTTGATCCGAAATCGTTTGAAATATAAATTTACTAACATCAGTTTTTTGCGAACTATTTGCAATAAATTTAAAGCTCACAGCTCATCTATTTGGCCCAAGTACAAACCCTATTGAAATTGGGAAAAATCGGTTCTGATTTAGATATAGCTTCCATATATATATTTTCGTCCGATTTAAGGTAAATGGTGCACCAAAGTACCTATTTATCTTTCGATTTGCACGAAATTTGGCACATCGTACCAAATTAAGTCTAGAGTGTTGTGTGTTAGGTTTCGTGAAAATAGGTTCAGATTTAGATATAGCTCCCAAATATATTTTCGTCCGATTTTAGGAAAATAGTGGACTAAAGTCCCTATATATCCTTAGATTTGCTCGAAATTTGGCATAGAGTACTGAATAAAGTCTAGAACGATGTATGTTAAATTTCGTGAAAATCGTTTCCGATTTAGATATAACTCCCATATATTTTTTCGTCTGATTTTTGGTAAATAGTGCCCCAAAGTCCCTTCGATTTGCACAAAATTTGCTATAGAGTACTATATTTAGTCTGGAGTGATGCGTGTTAAGTTTCGCGAAAATCGGTTCAGATTTAGATATAGCTCCCATATATATTTCCGATTTAATGTAAATGGTGCACCAGAGACCCTATATATTCTTCGATTTCCACGAAATTTGACATATCGTACTGAATTGAGTCTAGAAAGATGTGTGCTAAGTTTCGTGAGGATCCGTTCACATTTAGATATATCTTCCAAATATATATTTTCGTCCGATTTTACATAAATGGTGTACCAAACTCCTAATGTTTGTCCGATTAACACGACATTTTGCACAACGTATCAAATTGAGACTTGAAGGACGTTATTGTGTTCTTTTGAAATTGGTGCAGATGCAGCCATAGCTTCCATATGTATTTCGAACGGTTGCTGATTGAAATTTGTCCCATGGTACGCATACGACTCTAAATCTGCCCGAATGAAATTACATTTATCATAGGGTGCAGAAAGACATGAGTATATTCCTTCGAGGTAACATTGACCTGGAATTGTAAGTATACATATGTACAGAATACCCAAAGTGGTGAAGGGTAGTCGGCCCTGTCCGGCTTTACTACTTTTCCTTACTGGTTTTTTAAATACTTTTTAAAAGTCTACCACAAGGCGTATATTTTTTCAATTTGCTTTTGCTTTAAGAATATTTTATAAAAGTCTACCACCAGAGCTATTTTTTTAATTTTTTAAAAGATTACAAGGGGTAGATTTTTAAAAAAAAAAACATTTTTCTAATATTGTTATATGGACATGATAACCCCATAGGTTGTTGTTGAGTTGTGCGTGTGGGATAGATCTACATACGAACTATTTATATGCTTGTATGTATGTATATATTTATACCAGCCAGACATTGGTTCAGAACCAACACATGCTTTCGCAGACATAATTAAATAAAAAATGAATGACTGTCTGACAGACAGATTGGTTTGTCGTTCATGGCAATGGAAATGTGTTTTGTTGTTCTGCTGTGTTAGTGCGAAAAAGCACGTGTTTCCAACGATTTCAGGTTTCTTTCACAGATGTGTGGTTGATTTTTTTATTTTTCTACACACTTCTTTGATCATGCCAGGGTAGTTTCTATTCACAAGGATTCCCAGAAAGTAGATTGGTGATCCTCTCGAATTAGATTTAAAACGGAATCTTATTCACAAAAATCATGGTAGTAATTGTTTATAAGAATTACACAAATATTTTGATTTGTTTGTTTTTTTTTAATGACGCAAATTTATATATGTAGGGCCACTAGAATTTCGCGTATTTTTAAAAAAGTTACAATCAAAATAAATAAACAATTATCAAAACTCACCGTTGCCGAGTTTGAATTGAATGCTGGACTACTTAAAGATACCGATCGCACTGAACCGCCAATAAGACCGCTGTGGCCAACGTACCGATCACGTTTGCCCAACGAAGAACTGCCGCCGCATAAAATTCCATTTCTCTCAGAGTTTGGATATGTTGCTGACGACGACAACGTCGATGCCAATTTAGCAGCATAAGCCAAAGAAGAGAATGGTGAAGTAGTGGCAGAACCACCAGTCACAACAGAAGATCGCGCTATGTTAAATAACGGCAATGTTACCTTGTTATATCCAATGGCTTGCATTTTCGACTTTTTCACTTGTTCTCTACCGTTGGCAGAAGGAAAATCGAATCAAGACTCAAATGTACACTCCCCTTAAGTGTTTTGAACTCAACTGGAAGATTAAATGAAAGACCAGACTGAAATAAGTAGAAAATAAAAAAATATAGATTAATATTTCAAACTTTGTCTAACTGATAATCTGTATTTGTTGGTAGATGTGTGTGTCTGGGCATGTTTTATTTTGATGTCCGGCATCTTCTTATACAACAATTTCTGTATTTTTTTTTTCTTATTTTATTTATGACTTCTTTGTTAGTTTCCATTACTTGAAGTTTGTTTTCACATTTCATCGATTTGCTTGTGGTCTCTTGCCGAATTCGTTTGATAACCTCTTGAACTTTTTCTGCTGGACGAGATGAGACAATCCCTCCTGGCTGGCTATGGTTGTTGTGTATGTGTGTGTGTTTTTTTGTTATTGCGGTATTTTGAATTATGTTAATTATTAACATGTTTATGTTAATAATTAGCAAAACAGCTGATTGGACAGGTACTGTCAAAACTACAATTGATTAGAGAAACGTAACGGTACGTGACGATATGATAAGAAGAACTGGATCTTTATACTAGAGCAAAAAATTAATAGACGAGCTGGAGGGAGTCTTAAAAGACGAGAGGAAATCTTTATAAACGAGTAGAAGACGGGTTCTTTGTAGCTGGCCTAGATGAGAGACTTTATATAAGAGTTAAAAGAGGGTCTTTAAAGACGAACCTAGCTTTGTTCAGAGCACTGGTGGGCATAACAAAATTGAGAGTACTTGTGGATGAGCATAACTGACAAATGTTCATTAAAATCTACTGTCGAAAAGAGAAAAAAGAGAATGCGCGTTTAACCAACGACGCTCAGTTACGGTAGCATATATGGATAAGCATGCCTGGTTCAGAGCCTTCCACCTCAAGCGGCGATTTTTAAAGTCAGTGTCACCTATGGTGTGGAATTTTAAAGCCTAGAACTTGATTTCGGATTTTTAAAGCTTAGATTTTTCAGAGCCTCCCACCTTAGGCGTGGATTTTTAATGTCAGAACCGCTTTATGTTTTTTAAAGCTTAGATTTTTCAGAGCTTCCCACCTTAGATTTTTCAGAGCCTCATACTTTATGCTTGGTTTTTAATGCTTACATTTTTAGAGCCTCCAGACTTAATGGTGGATTTTTAAAACCTAGATTTTCCAGATCCATCCACCTTACGTTAGATTTTTCAGAGTCACCTTATGCGTCGATTTTATAGCCAAGATGTTTCAAAGCCTCATAATATGTGCGTGAATTTTAAAAGCCTAAAATTTTCAGAGCCTCCTGCCTTAATCGTGAATTTTTAAAATCTAGATTTTCCAGATCCAACCTTACGTTAAATATTAAAAGCCTAGATTTTTCAGAGACACCTTATGTATGGAATTTTAAAGCCAAGATTTTTCAGAGTCTCATATATCTTTTTCAGAGCCTTCTGCCTTAATAGTGGATTTTTGAAACATAAATTCATATCCAATCCAGATCCACCCACCTTACGTTAGATTTTTCAGAGCCTCCCACCTTAGATTTTTAAAGCCTAGATTTTACAGAGCCACCTTATGCGTGGATTTTAAAGCCAAGATTTTTCAGAGCCTCTTACTTTATGCGCGGATTTTAAAGCTTAGCTTTTTTAGAGCCTCCTGTTTTAATTGTAGATTTTTAAATCCTACATTTTCCAGAACCACCCTTACGTTAGATTTTTTAGAGCCTTCCACCTAAAGCCAAGATTTTCAGAGCCTCATACTTTATGCATAGATTTGAAAGCCTAGCTTTTTCAGAGCCTCCTGCCTTAGTCGTGGATTTTTAAAACATAGATTTTCCAGATCCTCTCATCTTTGGTTAGATTTTTCAGAACCCTCTACCTCCTAGAGGTGGATTTTTAAGCCTAGATTTTTCGGTTTATAGACGAGTTGGAGGGAGTCTTTATAAAAGACCTAAAGGGAGTGTATATGAACTGAAGTGCGTTTTTTTAGACGAGCTGAAAGGGGTCTTTATAAACGAACTGAAGGAAGACTTTTTATATGAGGTGAAGGAAGTCTTTATAGACGAGGTGAAGAGAGTCGTTATAGTCAAACTGTGGGGAGTCTTTATCTACCAGCTAAAGAGGGAGTCTTTATAGACGAGCTGAAAAGGAAGTACAGACGAGTTGAAGAGGGAGTATAGAAGAGTTGAAGACAGATTCTTTATAGACGGGTGTTAGACAAATTCTTTATAGATTTGCAGAAGAGGAAGTCTTTATAGACGAGCTGAAGGGAGTCTTTATAGACGAACTGAAGAGGGAATCTTTATCGAGCTGAAGAGAGCCTTTATAGACGAGCTGGGGGGAGGGCATGTCAAAACCTTAACCTTTATAGATAATATTCAGGCAAGATCTTCAATATTCTAAAATCATGAAATGTCTTCTTTCAGTCATATCGTCATTGTAAATTGAGATCAGAACCATCAAAATCTCATTTTTGACATTGCCCCAAACTTATAAACGTGACTATGTCAAAAAATTGACATTGAATTCGACAAAAATCTGCAAATAATCTAAAAAGGAGCGGAAGCGTTATGTGAGAATTCTGACAGAATATGATCCTTCATCAAAAAATATGTCGTTGAAGATGTTTTCCGGAATACCAAATTACCGACAAATATTTTTACAAGTTGCAAATGTTATAAACATGGTGGCATCACTGGGTAAATTCAATTTACAGATCCCTACATATGTTTGACAAGACCGGGAAAATTCTGTCGTATTTCGATTTTCAGAACCCTAAAATGTAAACAAACAAAAACCATTAACCAACCATGGAAGCCGTTGACGGAGAATCAACAACCTCACTTCCTGTCGTAACAAATCCTGAGGATTTCAAACCCAAAGATGATGGCATGCATTTAATTATTGAACCAGGATATTCCTTGGCAACGCTTCGGGAGTTCGTCAAATCATCGTGTCTGGCGGAAAAATGTCAATTCATTGAGACAACCGATGAAATACAGGAGGTAATGCTTTTGAATTATTGTAAAGGAATGTCTTAATTTGAATGGTTTTTGTTATAATTCCAGATATGTCGCCACTTTATTGCTCTACTCCGCAAAGAAGAATTGAATCTGGATGAGGTCACATCGATGTTTGTTTGTGCCTGTCTGAGTTATTTTGTCAATGCCACACCGGAGAATTTTGAATGGCGTTCCCAGTTGTTGCAGAAAACATTCCAATATGTTGATACATTGCATCCGGTTCATGTGAGTGAGCTATTACGATTAGAATGTTTGGTGTTGAAAAATACCGGCACATTTTCGACATTACGTCTATATAGCTCGTATATACGGACCATCTTCAGCTTGTCTACAAACACTGCCTCCAGCTTGTCTATAAAGACTCCCTCTTCAGCTTGTCTATGTAAAGACTCCCTTCAGATGGTCTATTAAGATCCTCTTTAATTTGACCCCCCTAGCTTTGTCTATAAAGACCCCTGCTGCTCGTCTATAGAAGTCTTCCTCTTCAGTAGGTCTAAAAGACACTTCGTCCTCGTCAGCTCCTCCATAAAGACTCCCTTCAGTTCGTATATAAAGACACCCTTAGGCTCGTTTATAAAACCCCATCAGCTCGTCTATAAACACTCTTCAACTCGTCTAAAAAGACTACATTCAGCTCGTTTATAAGCAGGGAGTCTGCTTCAGCTCGTCTACAAAGTCTCCATTCAGCTTGTCCATAAAGACTCCCTCTGGTTCGTCCTTTCAGTGCGTCCATTAAGACTCTCTTCAGCTGATCTACTTAGACTCCTTAGCTAGTCTATAAATTCACCTCCTCCCTTCTTTAAATACTCCCTTCAGCTCTCCCCTTCGATTCTATTACCTAAACGTGTTTACCTAATCTTTCCACTTTTCTTTACAGCTCCATGTGGCCACCAAACGTCTATGGGAGGCAATGAAAACCGATGGCATTGATTTCGTTTTCAATGTCATTGCCATCAGTCATCAAATTGCAATTGCCAGTGAAACGGGTCGAGCCATTGCCATTTGCCTTATTTGGACAATATTATTTAATATAACCGAAACAAATATTCAAATGTATTGTTTTCATGAACTCAGTGAACTTATAAAAATTCTCAATGAATTAGATGATCAGCTACTGATCAAAGAGGATAATACCCGAGTGGTATATATACTAATACAAAGTATTGGATTCCTGGTGAATTCAATTGTTTTTGGTCAAAATAAAGATTTCGAGAAGGCCGGTTATCGCAACTATTTTTCATATACCAAAAGGGAATTGGAAAAATTGAAAGACTATGCTGAGCATTTGTCGAAGCTGTGGAAAATTGATATATCTGTGGCACAGAATAATTACGATTTGAGAATGACGGTATGTAGTTCAAATTTTATTTTGTTGTTGTATTTATTAAATTCTTGTATTTCTTTTCAGATAAGTGAATATATTGAATTGAATATTGTCGGAGCACTGCAGGAGAAAATTACAGAAATGCAAGCAACCAAATAAATTAAATTAAAAAAAATTGTAATTTATTTTTGATTTTAAATGTTAAGAAATGAAAAACAAAAATTGTGAATTAGTTCTAGCAATTTTAGGGTCAAAGAAAAATGGGGACTTGGATCCCTTCCTTTGTCTACGAAGACTCCCTGGTCAATTTGACTCCCTTCAGCTCGTCTATAAAGACTCCCTCTTAAGCTCGTCTATAAAGACTCCCTCTTTAGCTCGCCTATAAAGACTCCCTCTTTAGCTCGTCTATAAAGACTCCCTCTTTAGCTCGTCTATAAAGACTCCCTCTTTAGCTCGTCTATAAAGACTCCCATCAGCTCGTGTATAAATCTCTTTTCAGTTCGCCTATAAAGACTCCCTTCAGCTCGTCTATAAAGACTCCCATCAGCCCGTCTATAAAGACTCCGATCAGCTCGTGTATAAATCTCTTTTCAGTTCGCCTATAAAGACTCCCTTTAGTACGTCTATAAAGACTGACTACTTTCCAATCGTCCTTTTTATAGTCTTCTAACTCAGATCGGCCATAAAAGGCCCCTTTTAGCTACTCGATAAAACCCAAACCTCTTAAATTTTTATGGGTATATTTTGTTTATATATTTTTTTTAATTATTATTTATAAATATAATTTCCCTCTTCATTCATTTCATCCCATTATTATTCCCATATTAAAATCCCTTCATATTGGCTACTCTAATCGTATGGGTCATTTGTGTATTAACAGCTGTTTCGCAAAACCACTGAGTGGAACAAATTGAGAAAAAAACAGACTGTGTTGGTGAGAGACACCAACAGAGAGCTAAAGTGCGATGTTATTTAACGTGAAAATGAAACTCCAATTGGATTTGAAACTCAGTTGATTTTTGTTGTGCTGACGGTTGGTCGCATTTGATCCGCAAGTGGATGATAAAATAGCAACAAGAACGGTGTTTAGACCAAATATAAATACGAAAAACAGACAATAATGGAGAAAAATTGGAATTTATTAATTAAAATGTAATAAAAAAGAGAATGAAGAACAAAAATTAAACGAAAATATTTAAAATATAAGAAATAATCCCCTTTGAGGCGGCCTAAGTCTGTGAGTAGCGTTTATAAAAAAACAGTTATAAAAAAGCAAAGAAATAATGAAAAATTAAGATTTTATAAAAAAGCAACAACAACAAATCCCATAACGTAAAATATGTTATGTTGTGGTCAAACAGGAAAAAATAAAAATATATCACAACAACAATACTGATATTGTCAGAAATTGCTAAAAATTATTTTTGGTACACGAAGATGGATTTTTTTTATATTCTCCTCAAATAATCATCAATAGATATACTTTTATTTAGTTTTCTTTAAAACAAAAATAAACAAAACTCTTAAACTTAGGTTTATGTTTTATATTTTTCTTCTTCTTCAAAACACACCGAAATAAACGTGAATTCACTCGTGCATATTTATACAACCCCCCTCAATTGTAAGTTATAGTGTTTGTGTGTGTGTGGTGACCCAACAAGCAACAACAAAGTTGTGCAAAATCAGAATAAGTGTCAAGTTCATTGTCCAAAAACAAATGTCGAAAATAAAATGCGCCCGTCCGATGCCCACACAAACGCAACACACAACAACAAATATAATATTATCAAGTTGTTGTCAACAACAGCATATAACACAGGTTACAATAATAATAGCAACAACCACACCAACTTCACAACAAGAAATGCCGGCACCACAACTTTGCCAAAATATAAGCATCCACATTGCGAGAGACCAACACTCCACCCCCTTTCTCTTGTTTAAAAAAGTCCCATACAGAAAACATAACAGTGGAAGCAACAGTAGCACCGTTATGCATTTGCTGTATTGTGGGTGGCTTGTTGGCAGGGCTGCCAGATTTGACGATTTATCGTCATTTTGACGATTTTTTGGTCAAAAATTGAAAAATGACGATTTGACGATTTTTGCCCAAAAAATGACGATTTTTGGTCATTTTAGTAATATTGCAATATTTGGGTTCTTTTTGTTATGGCAACATCAAAAATGTATAAAGCGAAAGAAAAAGAAAAAAGAATATGAATATTTGGCATATGTGTGTGAGGTATACTTTGTATTGTTACAAAGCCAACAACAGTTTAGGTGTACCCAGATATAAGAAAAACTACCAATCAGATGTGCCGTTCTCTGGGTAGACAGCAACAAAACAAATATATGTTAACGGTTATTGTTTTTTGACACGGGCAAATAGAAGAAAATTGGTGAACGGAAAAGTTGTTATATTAAATTTAAGTTTCAATTTATACAAAGTTATTACAATTTTAAAAAGATTCGATTTGAAAGCATTTTTAAAATTGTATCTATGATATCTATGAAGTCCCACGTATATTAGTAATGAAAAGAATAATTCATTTTTCGATATCCTTAAAGAATTTCCACATTTTGCGAACGAAGATGAAAAACAAAAATTGGATTCAGAATTTCGCGAACTAAGGTTGTTTGATTTTGATAACATTTGTGAAAATGATGAAACCAATTTATTTCGTTTTTGGAATGCAATATTTGATTTGAAACGTGGTGATGGTTCATATGTTTTTCCTATAATAACTAAATTTGTACGGAAGGTAATGGTATTACCCCATTCCTCAGCAAATGTTGAGCGTGTTTTCAGCCAAGTAAATCTTAATAAAACGAAAAGTCGAAATTCCCCCAATAAGGGTTCAATGGAGAAATTTATACCAAAGATTATTTAAAAGTTAACAAAACAAATTGTTATGATACGATAATTAAAACCGACATGTTGAAAATGATTAACACAAATATTTCTTTTCAAAATGAATGACTTAATTAAAGTCGAAATTACTATTCAAATATATTTTTATAAAATAAATGAATTTCTTGATTAGCTTTAAAAACGTGTTTAATAAATTGAATGCCTCTTTTATGTTCGTTTTAATAAAAAAATATATTTAAATATATCTAAACGTGCGTATTTAAATTTTTGACGATTTTTGATAAAAAAAAATCGTCATTTTGACGATTTTTCCAAAAAAAAATCTGGCAGCCCTGCTTGTTGGGTGTCTAGTGGCGTCTCTGTGTGTGAGCATGGAGATGAAAGAGCCATTTAGGCACCATCAACATAATTCTCTCCTAGAGATATGTAAGTACGTACATGTGCATGCACACGCATTACTCATCCATTCACTACCCCCACACAAATACAAATTTTCTAATCGTATTTTTTGATGATGGTCGGCTAACCAAACCGAATTTCGTTGTTGTACCTGGATTTGTTGCTCCTCTGCATGTTTAGTCACTGATTGTTTGTGTGTGTGCTTTGTTGTTGTTAGTTTTTAGCACGTGTATTATTGTGGGTGGTTTTGGGAAAACCGTATATTGCCAATTGAATGGGGAGAGCAAAGCCTTTATACATTTGCCATGGATGCATGCACAATCATCATCATTATCCTCTCTTTCTCTCTGTGTATTTGTTTCTGGGCTGACGTTAGATGGGTGATGGGGGTATCTTTCTGTGTCGTCATTGCTGCTGATCATTTGAATTGCTTTGTTGTTAGTTCTTGTTGTTGTTGCTGTTAAACGGCATATACATTAGAACTTTTTATCGGGTTAACCTACTTTATGAGGATTTATTTGACATATATGCAAAGGAATTGACAATTGAAATCCACTGGGTTAACGAAATCCGGTTAAATTATTCAAATGATACAACAAGTGTTTTTACTAATTTATAAACATTGTTCCAATTAGATTTTGATGTGAAATGCGCTCTCTCTTTATGTTATCAATTGGATTTTTTGTAGATTTTCCAAAGAAAAATAATTTTAAAATAAAACAAGGCGTTAATTTTAAATTAAGATTTTTTTCAAAGTGTGATTTTTCAATAAAATATTTTTTGGTTTTTTTCTAGTCTCAAACGAGGCGTGCATTTTTTAAAGAATAATTTTGGAACATAAAAAATGGAACTTTAAAATGTTGTATTTTTTATTATATTTGTTATTATTATTTGTCTTGTGTAAATATGTGATTTTTTATGAAATATTTTCAGCAATCAAAAATGAAGGAAAAATTAAAATTGAATTAAAAAACAAATTTTTATGAAATAAAATAACATGAATCGTATCTCGTTTTTTTTTTGTTCATATACCAAATTTGATTTTTTGTGCTTCGTTTTGGAATTTTTGTTCGTGGTTTTTATGAATGATATAAACGAACGGCAAGACACGAGCAGTACATAGTTGCTTCTGAGGGGATTCGCTGTGAATGTGTTCATTTTTTTTATTAATATGTTGGAATTTTGTTTTTGTTTTTTTTTGCTTTATATAAACCAAAATTGTGCGAGAAACCCCACAAAAAATATATCATCTAAGGAAAAAATTCAAAATAAAAAAATAAATAATAAGGAAAAGACATAAAACAAAATTTCAAAACATCTTTTTTAGATTGATTACCGAAGTTGGAGCATTATGGCAACAGTATTTTTAGAATGTTATCATTTGTGATTTGTTATTTTTTTCCTTCAATTTTAATCAGTAATTTTGGGAATAACAACCAGTAAGGAAAGTAGTCAAGTCGGACTGGGACGACTATATGATACCCTTCTCCCCTTTGGGTAAATTGTACATATATATCCTTACAATTGTATGACAATGTTCCTTCGAAGGAACATGTTCACCTTTCTTTCTACAACCTATGATAAATTGAATTTCATTAGCGCAGATTTAGAGTCGTCTGCATACCATGGTACAAATTTATGCAAAACGATTTATAGCAAAATTGATACACGCTATTCAGTAAGCTCGCACTGTTCAAAATTGAAATTCAATCAAACACCCGTTCGAGATACATATGTAAGCTATGGCTGCCTCTCACCAAGTTCAACCAAACCCAATAACGTCATTCAAGTCTCAATTTGATACGTTGTGCAAAATTTCGTGTTAATCGGACAAACATTAGGAGTTTGGTGCACCATTTGTGTTAAATTGAACGAAAATATAAATGGG